ATCTTTGATAAGAATGTTAAAATAGCCATTTTATTAGTCAGGTGTTTGATGAGTGTCTCCCTTTTCTTATCACAAATCACTCTACATTTGTTAGATTATTGATTATAAGATATGGTTAATGATTATTTTCTAGATTATAAATATTTTATTTTCACTTTTCCTTTCATCTGTCATGGATTATGAGTATTTTGTTACTGCTGAATACATGTTCTCACTGGCTTATTTCTTTCTTCGTGTGACTGCTTTGTGTTTCACTACATGTAGTAAGAAAAGCGTTGATCGTGATCTTGATTGGTTCAAGCAAAAGAGCTGTTAAAAGAATATGTTGACAGGTTATAATTTCCTCCTAAGTCCATAATCACTTAAAATGTTCCATCTAACAATTCAGAGAATCCTTTCAATGTTAGGGAGAAAAAGTAAAGGGAAGAAACGGGTAGAATCTCAGAATGCAAAAGAAACCATTACATGATACTCTGGAGAATACCAATACGCTGGGCAGTAATGCAAAATTTATCCGTTACCAATTAGTAAATATCCTCGGAGGAACAAACTAGTAAGCCAATCATAGCTTTACCATAGATGACAAATATTAGAATTTGGTTGTGATCCGAATTCTTTGTTAAATATAATTGAGAGTTCTAACTAAATCACACATTAGGGAAAATGCATTTGGAATACTATTATGAAATCCTGTTCAAATTTACTAGGCAAATTCTAATTGAAGTTCTCTTTGGAAGTCCATTGGGAGTAGGAATTTGTGTTGGACTTGAAGAGGATATTGGGATGAAGAAAACCAAGATTTTGGAGTAAAGTACCCAAAAGTGGGCGTCGTGGCACCAATGTTGCGACGTCACAGCACCAGGCCTGTTGTGCCGTAGCACCACTAGTCTGTTTCGGCTCTTGCACAATTTTTCCTCCTCTACTCCACTTTGCACTTTGTTTCTTACATTCTACTTCAACTACAACTTTACTATGAGGGTTTGGACATCCTCTATATATAGTTAGCTCTTCATTATGATTTAGAAAGGATTTAAAAACATGTAAATATATAATCTTTGAATTCGTTTTCCATATTATAATAAAATCTTCATTCTCTGCAAAATTTCATTGTTCTTGTGATCAATTACTTCATATTATGGTTTAATCTCTTATTGTTCCCAACAAAGTGTATTGGATTAATCCCATATCATTTTCGTTCCTTGTATCTTTTATGTTCATTGTTTTGCTCATCAACTGCAATTAGCTTTTTGTAGCTGTGGCAAAGAAGAATATATTGATTACTATTTTCTTTCGTGTGGTTGCTAATGTGGTAAATAATGTTGGAGCATCTTCTAAATGTTGTGATCTTCTTCGAGAGAAATTCATTATTGAGGCATTGGAGAACGGTGATATTTTTTAGTGGACAGGAACTTAATCAAGAAACCACTCTTCAGTGCGCAGCTGATACGCATTGGGGATCCCATTATAATTTTATGGTCAGCTTGATTAGCATGTTTGCGGCTGTTATCGATGTACTTGAAATAATTGTTGAAGATGGATCTAGTACTTGTGACAAAAAAAAGTGAGTCGTTCAATTTATTTGAGTTAATAGAATCGTTTGATTTTGCATTTAATCTACCTTTAATGAGAAGTGTTTTGGGAATTTCAAAGGCATTGCGAAACAAAGATCAAGACATTGTCCACGCAATGGACATGGTGAAAGTTTGCAAAAAACAACTACAACTTATGAGAGATGATGGATGGAATTCTTTCTTGCAACAAGTTGTCTCTTTTTGTAAGAATCATTGTATTGATGTTCCAAACATGGATGCTATGTGTAACACTC